AGATACGTAAATGTATAAGGAGTATTGATTGTTCAATCTTTCTATATGGCAGCAAACAACTACATCTCAAAATTCAACCTCATGTAGCTAGAAGGTAATAGGAAAAAAATACCATCTGTCCCAAAGAGCGTGAAATTTCTTCTTTTTTCTAGAGTCCTTCATTTGAAGAACCCAGAATGTATCTGGATGTTGCAAATCATGCCATACTTCATTTTCTTAACGTCTTTTTCTAAATAAATTTGCCCGTTGGCAGAGACACACACTCACCTGCAGCTTTTCATAGGCAACACGCTGAAGTTTTACAAAAGGATGTTCCTGTCCAGACCAGCTTGGCCAGTGAGAAAGTGGGTAGACTGTATCCAGCTCTTTGTCCATCGGCAGTCTCGGTTTTCAGAGGCTGGGAGCCGAGGAGGGTTGTGCAGGCGGTCGTGTTGCAGGACGAGGCTGCTGACTTGGGGTGCAGTCGGTCTCCCTCAGGCCTCCGTGCTGTGCTCAGAGGCTGGGGTAAGGAGGCACTTAAGAGGATGCCAGGGAGAGCCTGAGCTCAGTGCCTGGTGGGGCTGGGGCGATTGTGACTTGGAGACACCTAACACCCCTCCAGGTAAGTGGAAGAGCATGGCTCTGCCTCACCTTGTAATGCTGAACAGGCTGTGTCAAGGCATGGGGGACAGTGAGTGCGGGCCAGTAGTCCTTGCTCCAAAAATCATTCCATGCAGTCACTCTCGGCTCTTAGGAGGGGAGTTTATACTGTTCATGCGTAATTACGAGCAGAAGGCAAGAAAAAAGAGAAATACCAAGTGGGAACACGTGCTGAGCCTGACAGATCCTAGGCAGAGGCAGAAGAGAGCAGCAGGCCTGTACCTGTGAGATACGGGGAAAAAAAATACGTGTCCCTATGACAGGAGGTGTGCACGGAGCCCAGTGCCACCATCCTTCATAGCTAGTACCAAAATGAGGTGGTATTTTAGCAATCCACTTTGCTCTGATCTGGCCTTGGCACCGTCCTGTCACATGTGATAGTACCAACGTGGTTTTGTCCAGGCCCACCCCAAAACCACTTGCCCTGGGGATGGTGAGGGAGGCTGGCAGTCCCGTCTGTCACCAGGCTTGGAGGTGGACAAGCCTGCCCAAATCCAAAAATATGAACTGAGTCTTTTTCTGTAGTTTGTCCTGAGGTTTCATTTCTTTCTTTACTTGATTCTTTGTTTCCACTGCCGTGGTTTTTCATAGGTTTTGATCAGAGCCAAGTCATGCTAACACAGTGAAAGTACGAGTTGACTGGAATGGAAAGTCAACTCAGACCCTTCAGCTCCACTGGCCTTTTGAGAGAGGTACCACTGTGAAATGGAGAAAGGTTGGAGAAAAAGAGGGGTCCCACTGGTGGCATTTAATCAGGCTGCTACTCTTGTGATATTTGAGGTTTTCTTAAGGTCCCAGGCTGCCAAAGCAAGGGCTATTGTCTGTCTCTGCTTTCACTGAAGAGCAAAATATTTCTGCCTTCTGAGTGCAGACCAACACAGCACCTGTTATGTTCCAGCAGCTCTGAAGCCAGAAGGCAGAGAAAAAAAACCTGTGATTTTTGTCCAGTCTCATAGCTTTTGAGGGAAGTACTGTGTTTTGGGGGAGGTGTGTGCTGATCAACCATGATTTAATTCTTGGGGGTTAGCAGTACAGCATGCTGCAGGAGTGATACACTGCTGTTTGCAGGGCACCCTGGCTGAATTCAGCTGCTTTGCAGCTGGCAGGGTTAATGCTGTGTGTATGAGAGAAGGAAGGGGGATTTGTATTTCAGAGTGAACCTTCATTTGGCTCTGCTGGGGGCTAGAGAAGCCGAGCACTGCCTCGTTTATTGCACCAGGAAGAATGAAAGAGCTGACAAAATACTCCTTTAATTTGTTTGAAGCTGCATTCATTTCTCCAGAAGGGGGAGAGTGGAGTAGATGAATGCAGGGAGGAATGTGCCTAATTCAAGACTGTCCTTCCACCCAAACTCGACAAACACTACGGAGAAAATTAAAGACATTTAGAAAGGGGCTGTCAAATCTACTCATGTGTTTTTGTGAAGTCCAGCATTACCTGACTGTCGAGTGAGACTTTGTACGTGTGACTGAATAGTTCTGTATTAAAAGTTCACAGTTGTTTTTGATACCATTCAGGTTACTCAGCAAATATCATAAATGCATAGAGGTGCAAGCCATGAGTGGACAGTGATGGCAGGAAGAGCACGCGTGTGTATGGCAAGCCTGCTGCTCCTTTCTGATAGTGAAATTTGGCTCACAGTATCATGATGTGGGGTGGGGAAGATTGGAGATCAGAATCAGTTTAAAGTATTTTTGTTACACTGAATTTTTAGTGTTTTCTAAGTTGTTACCTTGTAATGTTGTGGGGTTTTTGTTTTTTTTTTTTTTTAGAAAAACAGAAAATGTCCTCTGTCACAGTCAAATCTCTTTTCATTTGACAAACCCTGATTTGCTGCTCATGTTTCTGTAAGGATCAGATGGGTAATGGAAGCTGTACAGCAAATTAATGTATGCTACTCGAGATAGTAAAATGCAGGGCTACAATAGGCCTTTTTTCAGCAGCTGTAAAGCTGTTGTGTGACTACAGTGAATCCATTCAGTCCCCCCCACGCTTTCTGGGAGCACCCAGGAGAAGAAAGTCGTACTAGTGAAATGACTATCCAGCAAAATGGTTCAGAGGGACAGGCTGATGACTCACTCCTCATTTTGGTTCACAGGGTCTTTTTCTGTGGACGTGAAGTTTCAGTCTCACTTGAGTTAAGAGATCTGTAACTTTGTCTGCGTTACCATATTATCCACTAAATCAGCAGGGGTGTTGTGTTCCTCACATCAGCCCTCTGAGATGGGGAAATATTATTATCTTTGCTGTAGAGGAAGGGGAAACTGAGGCACAGGAAAATTGGGGTTAAGTGACAATGTGCGTTACGAGCCAAATGCTCATACTTTAGTTACACTGTAGAAGCTCAAGTGTCATTCAGAGCTATTTCAACCCTTCAGGAAGCCATAGCATTTGCCCATAGGTCATGTAAAAACCCTGGAGGATAGCTGGGAATCTGTCCCTCAAACAACATTATTTGTCTCTTTAAACAGAACATAAAAAATGGAAGTATGTAAGTGAGAACAGGAGGATTTTATGCTGATTTTGATCTTAAAATAGAATCCCCAGCCGCCATGTATTTGAGTTGGGGAAAAAACAAGAGGCAGAACCTAGTTGATTCATCAGGGCAACACTCCGCAAAATAATCCCTTCAACACTTTTTCATAAATTAAGGGTAGTTTCTAGGTGGCATGAATCATGGACAGTGTCCTCATTTCACTTTGAACTTCCAGCCTTCTCTGGATTTGTGTCACAGCTTTAGACGGCTTTGTCCTCTTCCTGCAAGTCTGTAGGCATGGCTGTTGCAACCTTTACTCACGTTGAGTGAGAGCAGGCTCCTCGGAGCAAGCAGTAACACCACGTAAGGGAGAACAAGCACGGTGGAGTCAGGGAACAGGGTGATTTAAACGAAGTGTTTTGGATTTGTTTGTGCTGTAAAGCAGCTTTGGGGAGTGGTCACACAGGCGCAGCCGCTCCGCACATGTCAATGGAAGCCCGCTTTCCCCCTTATTTGTGTGTTGGTCTTTGCTCTGACTTTTGGGTTTCTTTCTCCAGGGGCGTGTGTGGGAATAAGCTGCAATGTGGAAAGCTGTACTTTTTGAATTTCTGACCACTTTTGGAAAAGTTGTGTTTTCTGAAGTACATACAGCCACAGAAGACTGTGGATAACGTCTCTATTTCTTAATTAAAAGCAATGGAAAATATTATTCAGAGCCGTCTGTCTGTCCTAGCTGAGGAAGAAAACCAAAGTGGTCTGGCTTACATGCATGCAAGGTCAAATCCTCCTCTTTGCTGTGTTGTGAAAGTTTGTTGGCTTCAATGGGGATAGTCACAGGTGTAGCCCCAGGAACGGATAGCTTTCAGGCTTTTTACAGAGCAGGAATGAATGTAGTTTTTGGTCCTAAAAATTGTTTGTAGAGAAATAACTGGGATGCCTGTAATCCGGAGGGGCCATACAAATGCAAGACCGTGCTTTCAGAGGGAAAGTGAACTCTGCACTGGCTGGCAGCATTTGCTGCTTGTAGTCAGGGGATTTTCCTGCTGACAGAGCCTGGTTTGGAGGCTTACGTACCCAGCTGGCTCCTGGCCTGCCCTGCTGCAGGTACGGGAGAGGGAGGAGGGTAAAACGGGGGGGTGGTGAGAAAGTGTTCTGGTAGCAGCGCTCGCTGAAAACTCAGAACCCTTCAGACCTTTTTTGGCGATGGTGGAGAATGTCAAAATTGATTGTATTAGAGACCTGCCAGTTTCTCTTACTCATTTGCTTTGTCGCTCCTCCTCCCTTCCTTCCTCTCTCATCAGCCGGGCTGGGTGTTGTGGTGCTAATGCTGCATTGCTTCTCCAGCACGGCTACTACTTCCCCCACGCCACTACTACAGAAATACTACAGTAACTCAGTGAAGATTTAGGGAGTTGGCTGTGTATGTATTATTAGTGGTAATAACAGTGGTAGTAATAATAATAAAACTGATGATTGCTCCCCCGTGTAACAGTTTGATACTTTACATAATGATTTTTCTTCTGAATTGTGTCTCTGGGCTTTCTTCCCTTTTCGCCTTCATAAATTTGTGAATCCTGGTATATATACTGGATTGTGCTTTAAATGAATACTTTGTAGTGTGCTATCTTGCAGATTTTAAAAATAACGTGTTTTTGAGTGGTCTAAAATAGTGGGGTTCTGGTGTTGTGGGTTTTTTGTTTTTTTTGTTTTAAAGTACAGCCCACAGAAGAGTGTTCATGCTGCTTCTGCTGGGGGGAGTTATCACACTTGCTTTAGATAATGAAATATACATTGGAGAAAGGTCAGGGATTTCCCCTGAGCCACCCACCAATTGCTTAAAATGACATTTTCATTCTGAGTGTTTCTTGTTTTGCTTTTGTTTAAGATCCTGGAGCCCAGGGAAAGTTTTAAGGCAAAACATCAGAAAAAAAAAAAGGCTGCAGCATCTCCTGTGAGAGAGGGGAAAAAAGGAGATTTACAATTGCATCTTGGAACACTCATATGATTTGAGGTAAGTGATTGGAGGGTCTTGTCATAAGTTACAGTTAGTTTGTAATTAAATTAATCATTATTTACCTCAGAGTGCTGTGATATTTCTGTTGAAGGCAATAAAAACAGATGGGAGAGGGAGGGAGATAACTTTAATGACAAACCCAGAAACAGCAGTAAAAATATGTAATGCACTTATCTTTTTGAAAATGGGCCCCATGAGGTCCAATCCCACAAACAGGCAATCGTTCTAACATTTAGAAGGGTTAAACCCTATTTAAATCAATGAGGCTATTCTCCCTGAAAGTTAGGCATGTGCCTAAATATTTCCAAGTTTGGAATCTGTATCATATGGGAACTCTGTAGAAGAAAGCTATTGAAGAACATACAACACAGAGCCAGAAGAATGCATATACAATTCTCTTACTGTTGGTGATAAAGTCACAAGTAATCTGATTTTACAGTATCGTTAAGTGATACTTTTGTATAAAATACATAGTTCTCATTTTCATTTTTAAACACTTCATTGAAATACCAAACTTCTTAACAGAGCCTGTAAATTCTACACCAGCTTTAATAATGTGTCTGTCTTAATTGTTTCATCAGTGTGTCTTTAAACAAGTAGAGTTAAATGTATAAAGAAAATAATGTCCCCTTTCATAAGTAGAGTTGCAAATTGCACTTGGATATTTGAACAGCAGCTGGACTGGAAGTTGCCTGACTGAGGCTCAATTGTGTTTTCCTGAGTTAATAACTTTTTTTTTTTTAATCAAGGCAATTGTGAGTTGCAAGGAAAAGCTCACCTTTTCCTTCTAGTCTTCATTTTTTTGTTTTCGTTTCTCATTAGGAAAGAATGACCTCTGTGTCTTCTTTGTCTAGTAAAGAGAAAATGTTACAGTTGTAAAACTACTAACCACTTGAAAATGCTGCATAAGTGAAAGCTAAAAACCACCAGCCGCTTTCTTAAATAAAAATTTCAAGTTATTAATCTGTTCTGCCCCACAAGTGTGCTGAAGGAGACAAAATTACTGTAAGAAACCTGCAGAATCAAAAAGACCCACATAATATGGAAGAAGCAGAGGATATGATCCCACAAATGTGCAGAATATCAAAGCACTTCAGTTGGTGGCATTTGCAGGCCAGGTTTCAGAAGAGAGGAGAGTGCAGCCAGCCCCTGGTGATTGCTCTGTATTTGCTTTGTAGGGATAGAGCTATTAAGTTTCTTTTGAAATCAACAGGCTCACTGCAGAGAGCTAAATATTTCCTTTCTGGTCAGTGGACAAGAGCCATTGCTTGGGAAATTGTAATAGTCCTGTAGGCATTTGTAGTGATTTATCCAAAAAGTTTAAAACTTCTGCGGATCAGTGTGGTTTACTGCTTTTTACATGCAGGTCTTGCAGTCGGGACCGTGAGCCCAAACAGGAATACAAGACTCTTTCAGTAGGAGTCTGAGGTGATTTTTGTAGCTGTGAAATGAGGTATTAATGCAAATCTGTTCGAAACTGCTGCTCTGTGGCCTTTAGGGGCTCCGGTTCTTACCCTCTCCCCCATCTCTGTGGCTCAGGTGGGGAAATGCCTTGCTCTCTGGAGCGAGGCCTGTTTGAGGTGTAGGGTGACAGTCCCGGCCAAACTGATGAGAGAGGAAGTGCACTGCAGTGACCCACGTGTGATGGCTCTCAGCCCACCTTTGCTTTCTCTCCATTCTGCTCTCCTGGTGGCAAGCATTTCTCCTCAGTTCCACAGAACATAAATCAAAATACTTTTATGCCTGCCTTTTTTTCATTGACGTCAGACCAGGATAACACGTGTGATTTTCCTTTCACGACTGCCTTCTTGTTGCTCTCTGAGGAAGCGCACACTGAAGTTCATGAGAAAGTATCTTTGTAGCATCTCTGTGGCCTATATAATCATTTGATCAGCTCTCTGTTGCAGTCACAAAATCACTGAATCTTTTAAAATTTTCTTTGTATCAAAGAATACAGGAGCTCATTGGCAGAGTATTAAAAGCAACTTTGGTGACAAAAGACATGTTTTGAGATATATTAAATTGTACCGCTACTCCTGCCCTTTCTTAGTTATTTTTTCAGCATGTGAAGAAATAATGCCCCCTTCTGTGTGCCCAGAGAAGGTTCTGTCGTGTGTGCCAGGGTGTTACATGGGTGCTGAGCTGAGCAGGCAGAGGGACCGACTTTCTCCTGCCTTGTATTTTTCGCTGGGAGTGAATACAGGGGATTGAGCCTGCCCAGATTAAACACATGCCTGTTTTGTTTTGCCTTTCTCTGCTCTTCTTTCAGCTGTCAGCGTGCCATGTTCAGATGGCAGTGATCAGTCACAAATTGTCCCCCGTCCATGCTCCTCAGCTCTCCTAAACCATTAGTTTCATGGAGCTCTTCAACAAAGATGGCACCGGTTTGATTTCCTCCCCCCTCCCCGAGCTAATGGAAAAAGAGTTTGTTTGTTTGTGTTTTCCCCTCAAGTCAGCTGCATTAGTTCCCAAAGCAACTTGTGTTAAGTGGAAATGAGGCTTTGATAATATGTGTGCTTGTTGGAGACTCGCTTAGACTTCCTCCCCCCCCTCCCATATATGGATCTTTTCAATGGGGCGTCTCTATTGTGAATGAGAAAGAAATTGCACGGGCTGCCAGGCATATAATGGAATTGTTCATTTTTTCTGTAAGTGTGTGTGCGCCTTGGTAAAGAGGAGGTGGTGGGGACGGAGAATGGAGATGTTTGCTGTGGGGAGCCAGGAGAGCGCGGTGGCACAGCCCTGCAGTGGGACGTGGCTGTGCCGCTGCTGCTGTGCCCGCTCTGCTGGGCTCTGGGGGGGCATTACCTGGGGCTCGCCCTGCTCAGCAGGTCACGTACAAATGGGTGAGGCTTACGCAGGCGTTGACTGTTCTGCCTGTAAACCACATAAGGCAAAATATTAGAAAGCTGTAATATTTCCAACTCTTTCCTTAAACCATGTGCATTGGCTTTCAAAAGAGTGATGTAAATATGAACCATGCCAATACTGTGCTTCCTCACTGTGAGGCTATTTATTATAAAGGACGTATGGTATAAGTCATTTTAGTATGAAGTAGATAAGAGCTTGAACCAAAGCCTTGGATCCAAGCCCACCAGCAGCTTTGCAAAAGGCAGGATTCAGATCTGAAGTCAGTGGTTCACACAGTTTCTAGTAGAGAGTGGTTTTAACTTACTCCATAAAATGGGAGTAGCCAGAAGTTTTAAATTGAGGCTTTTAAACAAGTTCTTGCCTGTTTCTCACCCACCGTTCTCCTCTGCCTTACAAGGTTATTGTGGAAGCACACCAGCTATGTTCTCCAAGCCACTGTGGCCAGGACTCACCAACTCAGGGAGTGAGAGGGGCCTCCATGGTGATTACTGTTATACAGCCATATGCTTTTTTTCCAGAGGAGTTTTTCTTCTGAGGATTTAGACCTCCCTTCTGCCTGAAGGTCTTTGGAGTCACAATGGAGACTATGGAGGTAGGACCCTGAAGTTTCACAGACACCAGGAAACAGTTGATCAGCCTGGCTCAGAGCAAACCAGGGCACAGTGGCTGGACTCCTCACCTCCTAAAAATCCCTCTCTCATGATACCGTAGATGAATTGCAGACATGTAAAATTACAACATTGTAGACAAGAAATTCATAAAGCCTAAGCTTTTCTTTCCATGCTAGATATGGGACTCTGTTCTTATTCTTCCCCTTCTCCTTTGCCCTTGGACACAACAGTTTTAGGACTTTTTATTCTCTAGCTGTGCACTTACTAGAGAGGCATCTGGTTATGTGTTACTTTACACATCTGTTACATACGTCAGAGAGGAAAATCCAGCACCCAGGGACTTTGCATGGATTTGCAGCACTCCCTGTGAGACTTGGAATCCATAAGCCAATGAGTGGCTTATGAGGATACAAAAATGCAGTATTTCAATCTACTGCATGTATTACTGCAGTTCATTGCATATATATACTGTAGTCCCTTTTGTGCTTGGCAGAGAAAAGCTGGTATGGCAAAAATGAGAAGTGCTGGTGAACTGAGAAGTATTTAGATATGGCAGTTAATTTGCTCCCTCCTAAAAACATCATCTTTCTGGTTGGCAATAGAAAAAACAGTTTTCATGATGATTTGAACACCTCTGAAAGATACTGCCCCAACAGTGTTTGTGTACTTCAAACTTTGGAATTGTTGGACTGTGGGGAGATGCCAGATACCCGAGACAGCCTTGATAGCTTAGGCAAAGCTCAGGCTTTACAGTTTTGTCTGGAGAATCTGTGCTGTTTGCAGCCTCTATAGGAAGCATGAGTTAGAAATCAGTATTTTATTTGAACAGCGTTTCCTTCTCTGCTAACCTTGCTGTTCAGGGTTCTGCATTTCTTTTCCTCTGGTTGCTAGTTCTGCAGGTACGTAAAGCTTGGAGAAAACCTGTGGCTCCTTAGCTGGTCTTTCTTCACGATCCATGTAGAAAACAAATATAATAGATGTTATTTCTACGAGTGATGAGCTAGGACTCCTGGTCTGTGTGTTGCGCATGCCAGCGAGCAGACAGACTTAATAGAAACTTTTGGGGGTTTTTCTGTTTGCCCTGGTGGGACTGTGGTCTGTGCTGGCAGCCCTTGGGTAGAGCAGTCGAGAAGAGTGTCGCTGATAAACCTGTGCACGTCATCTCCCGTTTCGCTGATACGCAGCAGAGCAACTGCTCACCATCTAGGGAGGCGAGCGATAGCCAGCGTAACGGCAGCGTGTCAGCCGATGACTGGGAGCCTCTTGCTAGCCCACTGTTAAAACCTGTTGGCAGAGTGTTAGAGGGGGCCGGGTAACGCAGGGGCTAGCACAGAGGAGCTGGGATAGGGAAGATTTTATTGACTCTGAGACACTGTGATAAATGCAGATTTGGCAGAAGGCACCCTCCAGCAAGAGCCCAAATGCAGAGCGAGCGGTGTGCTTCCCCTCTGCTGGGGGGGCTCGCCAGCTGGAGCCCACGTGGGAGCCCTTTGCTGCCGAGCCACGATCCTTCGT